AAAAGGTATAACCCCCATAGCTACTGCTCTATAAATAGGTATATATGGAATTAAAAAAAATTGTGGCCCACATACCTACAGCTTGTGTGTAATTTGGCCTGCTAATTGAAAACTTTGGGCATTACTGTTCTAGTCAGCCAAAATGAATCTCCAAAGGTTGTTGGAAGCAAAGAATGTTACATGTAGAGGCTGACAGAAATGTGTTGAGTTTGGTGGAAGTATGAAGTGTGTGTCATATTACTGACATATTATTGGTTGAAAAATTAGATGATAGATTGTCATCAATGACAATCTTCACTCTTGGTCTCTTTCTTATTCCTGGAATCAAATAACTTTGAAACCAGTCATTAAAACATTTAAAATCAAACCAGCCATACTTGGATGTATTGTATCTCATGCTCTTGGGCCACCAGATGTTTTTGTTTTGATACACAACATAAATGGAAGTAACAAATCATTTGCAACTGTTTCTGCACACATTAAGAATATGCATGACTTAAAGAATTTGTAATGTGTTCTGGGTATTTTTTACCATGTTTAAAAATGTATTTACATTTTCTTGGTCACCACTTAAATTTTTTTCATCATAACTAAGAGTGTTTCCAGAAGAAGCATTTTCAGTAGTAGTATACAAATTTTGACCCAGAAGATATAGACCAGTGTTTCTCAACCTCTAATGAATCATCGCCCCCTTCAATAAAACCGTTACATAGTATTGCCCCCTTCTCTTCAAAATTCCGATGCCAAGGGCCGAGGCTAATGCCAAAGTCGTACTGCATCGAATAGACTAATGACTGGTATAATGTTATTTGTTTAATTATTGTATGATATAACAAATAAAATATGTAATTAATCTTAATATATTGTTTTACTATATTGCCCAGAAAANCGGAGAACTCAACGGTCCATTTAGAAACGTTGTTCTCTCACCGTTGAGTCAACTGTTGAATATAGAAACGTACGGGTAGTATCGCCCCTTCACTTCAAAATTCCGATGCCGAGGGCCAAGGCTAACACCAAATTCGTACTGCATCGAATAGACTAGTGACTAGTATAATGTTATTTGTTTAATTATTGTACGATATAACGAATAAAATATGTAATTAATCTTAATATATTGTTTTACTATATTGCCCAGAAAATTGTTTTCTCCCCGCAAAATATAAATTGTTTCTAATTGCCCCCTCAACATGGAAAAACGTCCACTTTGGGGCAATATTGCCCCCATTGAGAAACACTGATATAGACCTATAGAAATGCCATAAAATTCCATGTCTGATAAAGGATTTTACTATTTTTTGAAAATGTTCTGGGAAAGTTAATTTGTCATCAAAGACTATTCCTAGATCACTAGAGGTTTTATTATAAGTTAATTTATGGTTTTTGAGATATATAGGAGGGCAATGAGGATTGCCCCCTTGTTTAACTAAAATTAATATTAATTCGTAATACAATACTTTTAATTGTGATTGTTAGTTAATTATTGATTTAGAAATAAATTATTGATTGCTTTAATAAATGTATTTTTCTTAGTAATGAAAAAGAATAGTATGCTTTTGTTAACTTCTGTAATCTAATCCCATGTATATATATTGTGTGTGTGTTGTTGATTTACCATATAAGACACAAAATTGTTTGGCAATCAGCAGACAAAACTGGTATTAACTACAAATAATATTGTAGGCTATGGTCGTTGGGCACTATAGCCTTTGTCTGGTTGAAGCAGTTGGATCTGGATCGATGTACGTCTGACCTCATGAGTCACCAGTGGAAAAGGTGAGATTTCTTTGGTGTTGCTGACGTCACCATTACGTGAGACCTTCTGATGGCATTCGTTCCCTCAGTACGCCCCTGCAAGTGCTTACAATATCTTATTTTGAAGTGTACCTGTCGTCCAGAGCAGGTTGTGACCAGTGGTTTGGTTGCCTTTCAGCTTGTTGTTTGTGGGGTTTCCTTTTTTGTGTCGGTTGAGATGCATGTTGTTGTAGAGTTGGTGACGAAAGCTGGTTTTAGCTGATTGATGGTGATGGTTGTTTCTTTGCTATTAATGTTTATCCTGAACGTTGCTCGATTATTCCATTGGTGGTTGGATGAAAGGCAGTGGTGTGGATCCTCGACGTCCCTGTCAGCACTGTCAGTGCTTTAAACAGTTGGGACTTGAATAAACTTTAAAAATGGCTGTATTTGTAGTAATATAAAATTACATCAGATAACCAATGAAATGTCTGTTAATTTGAGAATATTTTAAGTTTGGTTGAATTTGACAGAATGGTTGTACTACCTGATGAAGGCCCCTGAATGGGTTGAAAATGTTTGTGTTTTTATTGGATCATATGCTGGAGTAAGTAGTGAAGTTTTATTTGATTTGTTAGAAGGTTAAAGTGCTTTTAAACTTAAGCTTTTTTATTTCTAAATGTTGGTTCCATTTTGTATTTGATGGTTTTCATCTGCAGATGTTTGTTTGAAAATGGATGAAAACTTTTTTCAGTAAAGTGTTAGTTTATTTGCTGGTTTTGGATATTGGTATATATTAAATTATTTGGTAAATCTAAATTTGTGTGTGTCTGAAAGAGATTGTAATAGTAATTCAGATGATGTATTACAGTATGAAGGAAGTATAATTTGAATCTCACTTTGAATGTTTTTGTTTTTAGTAAATATTAATTTATTTAATTTGATAAGAGAAGATTGCAACATTTAACTCAAACCAAATTAATTTAGTAATTCAATAATACATAACAATATTATTCTAAATGAAAAATCCAGTAAAATTGGCATAATTTGACTTCATTTCTTATTTCTGAAAAGAATTTTTATATTAAACTGAATGTGCATCTTCTAAATTTTTTGTCTATACCATTTTTAATTAAATAAATTTTTCTTTCATAATAATGAATATCAAACAAAATTATTAGAGAAAAATATGATATTTATGCTATATATTTTCTCCAAATGTGTTTATCAAACATAATGCACAATTCTTATTATTGACAATCATCAAAATCGTACTTACTAAACCTTTTATTGTTCGGTAATTCTTAACTATTCGTAAAAACAAACATTTTCAGCCTCAGTTCAGGTTAAAAGAACAATCAGATTCCACTCTTAGAATGAACATTTAGTTTTAAAATATTCTAACTCATGCGTGTGTTACGTATCGTCATCGTTTTCTTGTTTTTCACATACGTAGCTCCAAGCATAGGAAAGTGCGTTGCTGTCTTTGGTGTTTATACATCTCCCTGTCCGGCCGGCTTTGTAAATTTCCAGGGCTTCAAAGGCTCTGATGTGGTCCATATGAAAAGCTCTATTAATCTGGCATTGAATAGTTCTGCATGAATATCTGGGTCGGTTGCGTAGGTGGATAAGGGCAGTGGTGTAATGAGCATGGTCTATGTCATATTTGTGCTCCTTAATCCTCTGTTGGATGGAACGTTTCATGGAGCCGATGTACACCATTTCTCTCTTAAATCTATCATCTCTCACAGGAATACTATATCTTAGGGCTCCTGGATATATAGTATTCCTGAGAGATGATAGATTTAAGAGAGAAATGGTGTACATCGGCTCCATGAAATGTTCCATCCAACAGAGGATTAAGGAGCACAAATATGACATAGACCATGCTCATTACACCACTGCCCTTATCCACCTACGCAACCGACCCAGATATTCATGCAGAACTATTCAATGCCAGATTAATAGAGCTTTTCATATGGACCACATCAGAGCCTTTGAAGCCCTGGAAATTTACAAAGCCGGCCGGACAGGGAGATGTATAAACACCAAAGACAGCAACGCACTTTCCTATGCTTGGAGCTACGTATGTGAAAAACAAGAAAACGATGACGATACGTAACACACGCATGAGTTAGAATATTTTAAAACTAAATGTTCATTCTAAGAGTGGAATCTGATTGTTCTTTTAACCTGAAGCAAACCTCGACTGAGGCCGAAAATGTTTGTTTTTACGAATAGTTAAGAAGTACCAGACAATAAAGGTTTAGTAAGTACGATTTTGTTCAAAATACCGGTATTCGGATTAGAAGATTTGTGATTGACAATCATCATCATTTTAATTTCTATGTGAATAATAATAATTTAAATCTTTAAACACAATTTATTAATTTTTGTTATGCTTCCACATCACAAAATTTCAACTTTAAGATTAGTACTTGATAATCATGTTTATCTTCAGTTGACATTTATTAACCTCAAAATGTTTCTTGCCTTAAGGCCATCTTCAGTATATTTTTCAATGATAAATAATTTGCACTGAAGATGGTCTTAAAAGGGCTGAAAACATTTTGAGGTTAGTAAATGTAACTTGTAGATAAATATTGGTGCTATGTAATTACACTCCTTCAGTTTGGATTTTCCATGCAACCTAAATGCAACTAATATTTAATAAAAATATTTCTATATTATAAGCAGTTAATTGTGATGTCATTTACTATTGTATTAATTTATTACATGTAATAATTTAAATGAATATAATTAAAACTACATTAAATATTTAAACTACTGGATTTCTGCTACACTGAGTGAAATAAATATAATTCAGCAGAAATTCAGTACTTTTGTATTTACATAATTTATTAATAAATGTTTTTTATAACTCAACAACATATTTTATGTGAATCAGTATGTATAATTAAATTTATTATGAAATTAATATGAATAATTTTAATTAAATAAAAGGTGATTTAAACATTTAAATATGTAAATAGCAATTAAGAAATTATTTGAAAGCATGCAATATATTATTAAAGGCTTTTTTATTATTAAAATATTTTCTGCATGATAGTTTATTTCTATTTGCTGCCTATACTACAGTTGCAAGTTGCAGTTTATTTGTATTTAGGAAAAATGCTATGCATGATAAGAAGAATCCAAATTAATTTCAGTAGCAACTTATTTGTAATTGTGATGTTTTTTGACAAATAAAACATTCATAATTAATAAAAAAAAACATGAAATTTAGGTTAAAATTGTTTGTATAGATAATGCAAAACTGCACAAGCAAGTTAGCTAGGAAGATGCTACAGATACCAGCCGAATTGTACCGAAAGGAAAAGTGGTCAACCGCTCCACTGTGGCTATTTGAAACCGATTCCAAGAAACACAGAGTAGATGTAGCATCCGAAAAGGACGTCTTGTACCTCGTTCACGTGAGCAATAGTGAAATGCAAATGGAAATATTTATTACAATTATAATAATTTTATTGAGTAGAAGAAAAAATTCAGTTCATAAATTTAAAATACTTTGAATAGATTTTGATTTTATATTATTTAATTTACTCTGCATAAAGTTTTTAAAAATATTACAATATGTATTTATTCTATATCTAAATGAAATATCTAGTAATAATTCATAAATTAATTTAATTTTCAAGTTTTGAATATCTAATAACTTATTTTGTTTTTGAATATCATGTTAATCAAAATAATTGTTTAAATAAATTAGTTTAAATTTAAAATAATGTTGATTTATTTCAGATATATTCATTTATTGATTTTGTTTTAAATGATTGGTTACTTAAAACATAATTTGTAATTAGATAAAATATTTACAATATGTGGAAAATTTTAATTTATATTCAATATTTTAAAATATTTTAATTATTATTGTATTAAAATAAAATGAAATCTGAAAAAAATTATACTTTATAGACAATAATTTTAATATTTAATTTCATATTTGGAAAATGGATCAAGTAAAATTACTACTACTATATAGATTTTTTACTGTGATTTTAATATCTTAACAATTTTGAAAACTCCATTTATATTAAAATTATATAAAAAGATATTTCACAGTAGTAGTTCAAACATTATTACAATTAAACATTCAAGATTTCAGCATCCCATCTTCTGATCCAAATGTACAGAACACAGTAGAAAACAGCATTCAAATGATGTTATATTTTTATTTTCCTGGCTCTGTTATATAGAAGGGGAAAGTATGGCTATCAGTCAAAAAATGAGTCCCCTCTAAGATTTTACATTTTTGGATTTAGGACACTTAATTGTTGAGAAATGCAAAAGAATTTGGTGTTTTTTCTATATGTATGGATGTTTGTGTGTGGCACTATTTTGTTCACCCTCTGTATTTAATATTATTAATAATTCCTGAAATTTTGCAACAAGGTTTGTGTATTGGAGATTTATGCTATAAAATTTTTGGTGGTTAAAGGTCAAGGTGATAAGAGATAGGGTGGGTTGTGTGTCATATTTCTAGTGTAATTGGACTTAATGATGTCACTCATTATTAACATTTACAGTTTTTTTTTCTTATAAAACTCATTTTTCAAAATTAAGCTTTTTGCCATTTTATAATAATTAAAAATATAAGTTTTTTAAATAAAATATAACAGATGGTGCCAGATGCAGTTTTAAACGTTGCTAGGGAAGTTAAGCAACTCATTGCTGGATTTTTTGAATTTGTTCAAGTTTAGACAAATTACATACATTATACAGTATATATATTTATTATATAATATATTTTTTTTTATTTGGTCTCTTAACTATGACATTTGCTTTCATTTCTTTCTACTTTCAGGTGCATTCTTAACAAGATTCTTATTAATATTTCAGTTTACTCATGATAAAATATCAAAGCCAAATGATCACTGTAATGATTTGGGCTATTTTTCCACTACTACAGTATTAATAATTAAATTCTAAGTAACTTGGTATTAGAGGTAGGCATTAGGTGCCATCTCTTATTAAATTTAATAATTACTGATCAATAGGATGACTGTCACGCCAAAATACTGTATTATAAAAAGAGAAGACACTGAGGTCGACGTTACATGTGCGTTTTTTAATCGCAAGTACTTTTGACGAACATATAGTCGTTGTCATCAGGCGAATACGAAGATTTACCGAAAAAATTAAACAGAAATAATCCGATGTAGAATAGAACGCTTAAAGTTGAAACTTTTGTCAAAGCCATTAAGAACACGAAAGAAATATTCAAAAATGTTCGAAAAACGAACGAGCAGAAAGCTCCAGGATGTGCGAATAAGCGCATGCGCAGATCTAGACACACACTATACGCATTCTGGAGAGTGCTAATATTTGCTTAATTGCTTGTATAGTGTGACCCATACACTGGGCAGCTCGAGAGTTGGAGTGTTGCATGTGTCCAAGGTGATAGTAAGGAGAGATTCCCATATGAAAACGATTTTTCAATCCTTACAGCTCTTGAGCATAACCGCTTGGGACCATAGCGGGTTGTAACCCTGCTCAAGTACTTTTCTTGCGAGCTCAGTGGTATGTCTACCCCTCACAACATCGTTTTGGTGCTCTTCAAGTCGGCTGGCAAGCATTCTAGTAGTGGCTCCAATATATCTTGCATTTACTCCCATTGCAAGATTTTCCACAGGTACAGCATAGACCCCCAACTTCTCAAGAGTGGAAAATTTGTCCCTATTGTTACAAATAAGTTTGCGTAGGTTTGAAAGTGGGGTTAGTGGTAGTATAAGGCTGTGCTGCTTAAAGATTCTGCAGATACGTATAGAGAGGGGTCCCAGGTATGGCAACGATGTTTGTACCATCGAAAATTCCCTTTTACTGCATAATGTGGTGCTTGGAAACAGTGATTTCTTTACCATATTGAGCACATGCGTAAATTTTGCACGTGAAAAGCCAGCAGTGCGTACCCCAAACTGATGTTTTCTAACTCCATGTTTACCAGCTCTTGCAAAGATGATAGTAAGTAAGCCCTTCTGACGAGAGAGGCAATGGCAGCATTAACATATCAAGAAGGCTGAAAGACCTCTGCTGATATAATGTGTGGAGCTATGCTGGACTTGTGATGAACTGAGAATTGTGGTCCTTCCGAAGATTTACATATATGCAGGTCTAAGAACGTTATTGCCGTGTCGCTTTCTTTCTCCCAAGAGAAATTGATGAAAGGATATATGCTTGATAGTTGCTGCATAAAGATGAGGAACGTCTCATCTGTGTCTTCCCACACTATGAGGATGTCGTCAACGTAATGCAAATACAGCCTCTGATAGCAGATGGCAAGCGGGGAATTGAACGTTCTGTGCTCGATCTCTCTCATAATAAGTTCTGCTAGATGAACTATTCAGAAATTTTAACAACGGAATAGATAAATTACCCAACTTCACTGCCTGTAACTGGCGTTCTTCTTCTCCAATACAGAGGACTTTGCAAACGTTTTCGAACCTAATGTGGTTCTTCTTCAGGCGCTATGGAATTTCCTATATGAATTTGAATTTCCAGAATTAAGTGTTGTTTTGGAAAATTTTTTGGAACGTTGTCATGTGTGACCAATGGCGTCATTGAAGACTTGCGCATTATCCGTATGTTGTTACTTTAGAGTTTTATTGAGGAAGGCTTCCGTGCTGTTGATATCTTCATTTCTTGTTTGAAGTTAATGCAGTGCTTATTCCTGAGGGTGTTAAGGCAAATGTATATGGCCTCTAGCCATCTGAGGTGTTCTGTGCGGACTGTGGTGTGAATAATTCTGGCTAGAGGGAATAGCAGTTCTATTTCTGGGTCGGAGGAGTATACCACTAAGGCAGTGTTGTTTCTATGATGTAGGGTGTCCGCTTTGTGTTCTTTGATTCTAGTTACTAAGTTGTGTTTAGTGGACCCAATGTAGACAGACAGCAACAGACCGGAAGTCTGTTGCTGTCTGGAGCGTCTTTTCCGTTCCTAAGCCAATCGAATATTGTGGTGCACCTCCTAAATGCCAAGCGGACATTCTTTTTCTTGGCTATCTGGTTGTATATGGCCTTAATTGCCAGGTTGTATGTGATTGGTATGTACTTAACCAGGGAATCATTGGAATGAGAGGTGTTGTTGGATTGTTGTTGGAGTACCTTGTTGTTTATCTTGCATAAGACGTTGTGATAACCATGTTGTTTAGCTATGTGCTCTATGCGTCGCATTTCAGAATTGAAAGCTGATTGAGATGAGGAATGTGAATATGCTCTTTTGATTAGTGTGTTGAATGCTGCCATCTTATACTGTGGTGGGTATGATGTTGCAGGTATATACAAAGGTTGAGCAGTTGATTTATGATACACTTCTGTATTCAGTGGCGGCCTTAGGGGGTGGCGACCAGGGAAATAGCCCGGGGCCTCGCTCTTGGAGGGGCCTCGCGCAACAACCAAGTAGAAAAAAGTTGATATTTAAAACTTTTTATTTTATCCTTGGCTATTAGTTATAACAATAAAATAAATTTAATTTATAGTACAGTATATATTAATATTAATAAGTGCCTACTATTTCAATTCACATACTTTGCACAAAGGACAAGGGCCTCGCAAAGTTCTGCCGCCCAGGGCCTCGCAAAGATCTGCCGCCCAGAGCCTCGCAATGGATAAGGCCGCCGCTGTCTGTATTGATGGATGATCCTTCTATTTTGATGTTAATGTCTAAGAAGTGCGCTTGGGTAGGGTCGGCTTGGTCTAATTCCACCATTAATCCATAGGGATTATTGTTGATGGAGTCGATTAGCGTCGAGATATTTGGGATCTTCTTCCATAGAATAAGGATATCATCGATGTATCTTTTGTATAGAAGAATGTGTGGGAGTTGAGATGGTAAGAATTCCGATTCGAGTTTCCTCACCACGATCTCGCAGAGGTCTGCTGCGACTGGGCTTCCCATTGGTACACCATGTTGTTGTTTGTAAGTGACTCCGTTGAATCTGAAGAAAGAGTTGTGGCAGAGCAGATGTGACATTTCTAGGATGTCCTGTTGTAATGTGTTATCTCGGATCATGTGCATGAGCATATCTCTTATGGCACAAAATACCGATGGGAGATTGATGGAAGGATATAAAGATTTGAAGTCTAAGACAGTTATGAATTTCGGAGGTGTCGATATGTGTTTAAGGATGTTAACTAGGTCCGCCGATCTGGTTATGGTGTGTGGGTATCCGTCCAGTTGGATGGATACCCACACATCATAAATTTTTTGGAACACAACGTTCCAAAAAATTTTCCAAAACAACGGTTAATTCTGGAAATTTGAATTCATATAGGAAATTCCGTAGTGCCTGAAGATGAACCACATTAGGTTCAAAAACGTTTGCAAAGTCCTCTGTATTGGAGAAGAAGAATGGCGGTTACAGGCAGTGAAGTTGGGTAATTTATCTATTCCGGTGTTAAAATTTCTGTATAGCTTTGATGTTGAACTAAGAGAATTGTTTGATACTGATATGTAATAGTTATTAGAACAGGATGGAATACATAAACTCTTAGAAGACATGAAGTTATAAAAATATATTTATGAATAAGCTGTACCAGCTTATTCATAAATTTATAACTCGTGACAATAAAACAAACACCATTTATATTTACTCCAGCAGATAGCATTTAATGGAATTACAAACGTTTTTAGCGGTATTGTGGTTTCCTCAGGTAAAAAAGCAGTTCAATCAGCTTTTTTATCTTGAGAAAGCTTCTTAATTCTGCCAAAATGTTTTTAATTCCATTAAATGCTATCTGTTGAGTAAATATGTACTGTGTTTGTGTCAAAAGTAGATTTTAAAGATAGGAAAGTGAATTTTTTAAGAATATAGAAAAACTCTTGTTATTTTCAGTTTTATCAAAGAAAACCTTCTGAAAATTAAAACAAAGTTTTCTTGTAGAATCTTTGATATTATTATTAGTGTTCTCTATTACATATCTAAGGGTCAGTGATAACAATTTGAAATGTTATGCAAATGAATAACAGGAAGATGTTTAGAACTGCAAATCTTAAAAATTATTTCTTCATTAACCCTTAATGTAAGTTTTTCTCGAAAGAAATGTGCAATAACACAACACTTTGCTTGAAAGAAGACTTGCCATGATGCACACTTTGCTTGATAGAAATGATCTAAAAAGAAAGCAGTTATATTTTATCCATGAAAATTGTTATTGGAACATAATTGTATAGAGTATTTACACGTACAAGGCCAAACAAAACAGGAGTTAATCAAAAACAATTTTACCTTCTTTTGCATCAGTACACAGTGATTGAAACTGATTGTTAAACTGATATACATTACTTATGTCAATATACAAATGTCTGCTTAATATAATAGGTCATCATCTACTATTGTTGCTATTGTTGACAACCAAGGACTGAAGGATTTTTTAAATCTGATTTTTTTTACAGGTGTATAGAGGCTGTGAATGATCTATTATCGGAATATCTTTTTAATTTTAATAAAATTTTTATATTGTAAAATATAATGTAGACCAAATTAGCTAATGTATGAAATGAAAGGTTTTTTGGGTAGAATAAAATATTAATATTAATTTTATTAAATTTAAATTAATGAGATTTGGTGATTTTATTTGTTTGTGTTTATTTATGTAATTTGTTCATTTAATATTTTTATATTTATTTTACCTGTATTTTATACTGTTATATATATTAAACTATCCTTATATGAATTATGACTTGTTGTATATGTATATATCTTTTTATAAAAAATTATTTTGCCTTGAAATTTGTAATATGCTACTTCCTTTAATATTTATTGCAATAAATTTATGCTATATAAAATATATAAAAATATTTAATTTAGTGCTAAAGAAAGCCATTAATTCAAATGTTAACTTGTTTTTAAAACTTAATAAAATTATTAATTCCAAAGTATTTATACTTTTTTTGTTTTCTAGGTAGAAAATGTTCGAATGTTAGATCGTTTCAATAACAAGAAGACTTCCGTAGGAACCTTGTACCTGACGGCAACTCATTTAATATTTTCTGATCCCAAAGGAAGAAAAGAATTATGGGTTTGTTTTTCAATGAATACTTTTTTAAGTAAATTAAAATAAAATTAGAAATGAAATATCAATAGATTTGAATAAGTAGCATAGAATTAATGTAATAATTACAGTAGTTGTTTTCTTTACAGATTTAAACATACAGATTTTCATTATACCAACTTTCTGAAGTGCTTTTAGCCTACAGGGTAATTCACTAGTAGTGGTCAGTAATTTTTATCTCAGAAACCATGGATATACATACAAACATAAAAGAAAGACATTGGCCGTACACGAAATGTTTAGCCGGCAGAAAGAGAGTAAGGGAAAGGGCAGGGGAAGGAGGAGGGAAGAGGAGATAGACAGTAGAGAAAGGTAGGATCCCTTTGAATGGTGTACATAAGGCTTCGGGGGACTATGGCCTCACAGCTTTTAGGCTGCGAGGCCATAGTCCCCCGAAGGGTCTAAAAGAAAACCCGTATACAGTGAACACCAATGATTCAGTGCCACCACAAATAGCTAAGTGTAGAAGTTAGTGCCAAGTGGCTGTTAGTAGAAACTGAATAAAATAACTAACTAATAAAACTGAATGCGATCGCAAATCTTAAAACTACTTAATTGACAGATAGTACAATAAATACACGACAAAACAAACATAGCAAACAAATACATGACAAACTAGACAAGATAAACAGACCGACAGAGACAAATGAGAAAGACCCCAAAGTTTTTATTTTTTATTTTTATTCTATTTTTCAAACATTAACGTACTCACTAACTAAACTAACTACCACAACTTAGGATGAACCTAACCAGACGACTAAAGCTAACTAACCCTAATCTAATTTAACCTAACCTATCGTAATCCAACTGGAAACCAAGCTAAGAGTCTCTAATCTAACTTACAGCTAGGACTAACCAAATTTAGAGTGAAAAAAGACAGAGACAGAAAATAAGAATTAAAATACAAAGTTGAAAGGCAGCTATATATCGACAGTTGAAACAAAGCAAGGGAAAGTTAATTGCCATCTGTGTCTCTGGATTGAGTGCTTGCAAGAGCCCCAAGGGATATGAATGTGAGTAGATGATGGAGCATTGTATGTGTGTGAATGAGTTGGTGCGGGTTGCAAGGCCAATTGTACTCTTCAAGAATAGCAGCTCTCATTAAGCTATCTCTAATGTGATTGTACCTATTGCATCGAAAACTAAGTGAAGTGGTGTTTGGTCTTCCTGAATACCACAGTCGTATTGTGGATTGTCCCCAAGGTCAAATATATGCAAGTATTGCTTAAAGTTGCCGTGTCCTGTAAGTAGCCGAGTGAGGGTGTAACTAGGGTAAAAGTTGTGAAGAATCGTAGTAGTGTCAACATTGGGGATGAAAGTGCAGGTGAGAGCCTACCAGTGGTGTCATGGTCTCAGTTGTCTTGCCAGAGAATGAAGATTTGCTTCTTGATGTGAGTGTTGATGTTTGAGGTAGGAATGTAACTGAAAGTACTAGTGACTGAAGACTTTGCAGATTGTTTGGCGAAATGGTCCGTGGTCTCATTGTCGAGAACACCTGCACAACCTGGGTCCCATTGGAAATCTATTCTAATGTTGTTATCTAAGTGTCTGAGAATGTGGTGTATGAGATGGACGAGTTTTTAGTGGCTATCAGACTTCGCAATCCTGTGTAAAGCTACCCTACTGTCAGAATAAATGCGATAGTGTAAGTACAGTCGAGTGTCGATTATCCGAATGTCGATCAACTGAAACATTGGTTAACTGAAAGTGTTCCAGTCGGACTATGTCGTGCTGAATTGAACGTTTTTGATACTAGATTAACTTCTAAAGTATAATTTTTTTGTTTTTATATTTTTCAAAATATTTATTTTGTTTGTATAAAATAAAGAAATAATTTTTAACGATACAATAGCCACGATGATTATTATAAAAATTTTCGTTAGGCTTAACATTGATGAAAATTCAACATAAAGTGACATGCAATGGAGAAAAATTTAAACATGGGATATACTAATATACTATATTAATAATGTATTTTTCCATACATAATCAGTTATCCAAAAAATCGATTTTCTGAACAACCCCAGTCCCCAATTGATTTGGATAATCGACACTCTACTGTAGTGTCTTTTTGTCCTTTCTATGCCTAATGTGAATTAAGCTCATATAAATAGCTAAAGTTTCAGCCTGTGCTATTGAGCAGTATGTACCTAGACGGAAGGAAGCATTGTGAAGCTTGCGGCATAAGTTGGAGTAAACTACAAAAGCAGCACCCACATCATCACCCATCTTGGAGCAGTCAATGTAAATCCTAAACATGGGATGATCACCTGGGAATTTACTACATTATCCTGAAACATCTCTTTTAATATTTTATTCTGCCTCCATTTCATGTTGAGCATAATACTTGCATGTAGAAATGGATGATGGGAAAACATTGACATAAATGTAAGCAAACACTTGTTGTTCCATCATCTTTCTGCATTGAATGACAGTACCTATATACAAAAACTGAAACATGGAAACTTGAAATATGGCCATCTGTGTGATAAAAATGCTATTGAAAAATGTTGCAGTGTCAATTGAATTTTCTTATTTTAATTTCAGTTATACCAGTAGTAAAAGAAAACAAAAGACATATTTGAGTGAGAAAATATTTCAAAATAGATTAATTAATTAATTAAAGTTAGGGATAACTACATGATTATAAATACTGTGAAGATTGAGTGTTGATACAATGCTCATTTCCGCTTTTCCATTCTTTCCTCCTCAGACTGTGAGGACCTCCATGCATCCTCTCCGAAATTGAGGTTAAGAATGAGCAGTTTCTCTTTTTCCTTTGGTCCTGTCGTCGTTCTCTCTATTGATGTTTCTCAGAACAGACCCCTCCATCCTTACAAAAGAAGGATTAGAAAGGGATAGAAAGTTCTAGAAAGGGAAGACAAGAACAAAGGAAAGACATTGAGAATTAAAATTATCAAAACATGTAAATTTTAAATAATATATAAGGCTAGCAGCCACAATACATTTTGCTGTAAGTAGACTAATTTGACCAGTTAATATTTTATTTAGATAATAAATGGAACAAATCTAGGCATGCCAACCACTATAGTTCAAATGCATTTGTTTCGTGTGATATCCTTCCTATTGGTGTTATTTTTGTTTTGCTTTCTTTTCAGAAAATTTTCAACTTCTGTAGTTGAAGTAGTTGTAGTTGAACACTACAGAAGTTGAAAATTTTCAAATTTATATTTCATTAATTTTAATTTTCTGTCAGCTTTGACAGTAAAACTGATTTTCATTGATAATTTTTGTTTCTGCATTTAAGTACTAGGCTTCAGTCTCTTTTCCATGCTGTCTCAGCTAAAGCTCTGGTGACCCTTTCCCTTTTCCTCTCTTGCAGTCATCCCTGAACTCCTTCAATCTAGCTCTCAAGTTCCTACTTGCCACCTCTGTATAACACATTTTGTTCTTGCTTTTCTTTGTTGATACTATATAAACTCTAGCTTTATCCTGTAACTTCCTCTTTCCTTCATTCCTCAACAATCAGTTAAGGTGTTATTTCTTATATATATATAAGACTGAGACTCCACTAGTGTAAAAACAGGCGTAAAAACCTTCTCTGTAAAAACTTTTAATCACGTGACCTATTTGCATTTGTATCTGAATTGCGGTGGAGATCCTGCTAGCGAATTTTTTATGGTGACGGTACTATCGAAGTTATAAAGACAATGATTATATTCTAAGGGGCCGTCCATAAATTACGTAAGGGCGATTTCGGCCATTCTAGACCCCCACCCACCCGTGTAAGAAAAAGTAATATTTTCTTTTTATCCCCCCTCCCCTTCCTATCTTACATAATATTTTGGCATGATTTTATAGAAAGATTTTAAATTAACCAAAAAAATTTTTTTAATGAAACCCTAAACACCTTAGGTCCAAAATATATAATTATTAACTAGTTAATTAATATGTACTAATATTTATAAAAGACTTTATGTGAACACATTTTAAAATATAAAAATTTAATGAATTCGAATGAACAATTTATTTTAAGAACTTTATTTTTTAATTATTAACAATATTATTATTATTATCATCATCATTAATCAACGTCATTATAATTGTTTTTATATTAATTTTAATGTTCGCAAAAGACGCAAAAAACTTTGTCAGATCGACTAGCTTGAGCATGTGTAAAAGAAACATCATACAAGATAAAACAAGAGAGAATAGAAAGAAACTATATTCCGTTGCCATATTGATTACATCTTGGCTAAGGCCAAGAAAATAAACTACATGCTGCTAAAATGTGTTAGGTGCACTTGGGGACTAAATAATAAAGCTTATAAAACTCTATATAATGGGGCAATACAACCAATGCTACTTTACGCGGCCTCTGGCTGTGATCATGTAACTAATAAAAGTTCAGTAGCAAGTAAATTACTCTCTCTTCAAAGCCAGTTTGACATCAGAATTTCAAAGTGCGGCAGAACAGTTTTTACTAATGCCTCTCTGATACTAGCGGAGCTTATTCCTTTGCCACTATGTATCGTAGAAAAGGTTCTAAACTACTACATCAGAACTACAAACGTCAAGGCTCAACAACAATCTCTACTCCTATCTACGGCTGTTCATACGCTACCACATTGCAATTACCCTACTATCTCTGATCATCATCCTGTGAACAAGGTTATTTGGTGTCATCTGCTTCCTCCATGGATAATCACGCAGACATTAATATCTTCACAGATGGGTCCAAAAGTTCACTTCTTTTCGGCTCAATTATCTGTATCTTCATCCAAACTGACATATTTTGCCAAAAATATGTTAGAAGGTACAGATACCTCCAACATACCTCCATCTATTAAGCTGAAGAAGATGCCGACTACCAAGCTGTTCAGTGGGCCACTTCACTACCAAACGAAACTCTGTCTATCAACATTTACAGTGATTCTCTGTCTGTCCTAAAAGCTCTATTAAATCCCAATTGCAATAGCAATAAAATCGCATATATCCAGCACCAT